GGTCTGACGTTAAGGTGAAGCATGTACTTCAGAAAGAGAGCTGTAGCGGAATACAACAGAAAGCCCAAAATGTCTTGGATTGCTATCAAATGGTGCTGACTGAATAACTCAGAGACATTAGCAGCATATCGTAAGAATGGTATGAAACACCATTACAAAATCTTACTTTTATCTTCACGTTTGGTTGGTATACTTTCATTTTTAAATTATTCTTGATCTTAGTATCGCATTGGAATTGGTAACAAGAAACGCTTGACATTATTGCGACTGTGATGATGGCTAAGCATCTGAACATGAGTTTTAAAGTGTGCTTTTCCCTCTGTTTTGTCTCTTGCTTTTACAACTTGTTACTAGTGTTCCTTTTAGCCGTATTGCGGTCAATCACCCATTATTTGGATCTACACGGACACTGCGATCTCATTTTGAGAGGGTTTATTTATCATTCCATTTCCACATAGTTGTTTTGCGTTTTCAACATGCCGGAGGCTTGTTTTTTGTGCCTAGACTCGAGTGAATATATGCGTAATGGGGATCAGTTTCCCAATCGCCTCATGGCAGAGCAGGAGGCCGCAAATCTTTTGGTCAATGCAAAGATTCAAATGAACGCAGAAAATGTGGTCGGATTTTTGACTACTGGTGGATCGGCATGTACTGTATTCGAGACACTAACTTTAGATGTCGATCGCGTCATGGCGAGTCTTTCTAAAATCACTATCAGTGGACCCAAGTGTCACTTTGCCAAGGGGTTACTTATCGCCTCGCTAGCTCTTACTCACCGCACAAACCCTCGTGCAGAAAAGCGTATTGTTGCTTTTGTTGGGTCTCCTATGCAAGAGACCCCAAAGGATCTAGAGGCACTCGCCAGGAAGCTACGCAAAGAGGACGTGGCCGTCGACGTTGTTGTCTTCGGCGTGGAGGAGAACGTGCCATTGCTGGAGTCATTTGTCGAGAAAGTCAACCGCAATGGGAATTCTCGACTTCTCAGTGTCTCGAAGGACGCCAATCTAACGGATGCTCTCATGAGCAGTCCCATCCTCCTCGGAGGGGAGGATTTGAATCCCGGGAGCGGTGGCGGTGCGAGCGTAGGGTTTGGTGTAGATCCGAACGTGGATCCTGAGCTTGCCATGGCCCTGCGCCTCTCGCTGGAAGAAGAGCAGCAGCAACAGGCTGTGGCGGCCACGGTGGCATCCGAGAGAGCCAGGGACGAGGAGGCTACCACCGTGAGCTCGCCACCGGCGAACGCAACCCAACCCGCTACGGCAGATGCGGAACTGGACTTTGCTAACATGTCCGAGGAGGAGATGCTGCAACGGGCGCTGGCCTTGTCTTTGGAAGATGCGGGCCCAGGACAAGCACAGGATCAGTTGGCGACATCGAGTGGTTTTACCAAAGAGAATGAAGAGGGAGGCACTGAATCCACAAAGGAGGTGCGCGAAGGGTCGGAGAAGGGGGATGAAAAAAAGAACCAGAACTAGGCTTGGAAGGGGGAGGGGGGGAGGAAGCCAACATTCCCCATCCCTCCCCCCCCCCCCTCGAAGCCCCGACCCCCTTTCTGCGCTAAGCAGGTTGCTCTGTGCGCTTGAGGGGGAAGAGTGATGAAGGATAAATGGGTTGACGTATCTTATGGGTTGTTGTTCTTCTTTTTGGCTTCACAAAACGTAGGAATGGTTATTTTTGTCTATGACCAGACATTTCAAGAATGCACCAAACATCAGGCAGTTCACGCCTGGCTGCCCATGGGCCGGCATGGATGGACTGGAGAAACACAAAATTCCTCACAGCAAGTTTATTGAGTTTTGGAAATGTATGGTGCCGAAACGCCGCCAGTCGATAATTCAGTATATTTGATACTGTGCATCAAAGGGGGGAGAGGGGGGGGCGATGCTTATTTTTTACATGAACAGACGCTTGGGACGCCAGGGAAACGCGGGGGGCTCTTCCTCAAACTATTGAAAAGCCCGTTTTCTGCTCTGAAGGGCTCAACTATAGGAGCCCCATTTTCAATTTGACCGCTGAGGGGGAGGGAATGGGTTGTTCCAACGTGTTCGGAACAAACTGGGTCAAGCGAACTCTACGTGCAATGCATAAAATTTTACTCTTCCCAATCCGACGCCAATCCGCAGACTAATGTGTATACGGCCGTCCCATCACGAAAGGCAGAACTCAACCAACAAAAATGCAGATGAAAGCATTGACGTGGTATTACTGTGCTACGGTGGTGTTGATATAATCTTCCGCATCCCATATCTCATGAGACTTGTGTAAACGCGCTATCGCGGCATCGTGTACCGCAAACCTTCTTCTTATGGTTGTCCCCAGAAAGACCGATCGTGCGGCCGGATGTTAGGATGACATCATAAGGCCAAACAAGTCAAGATTGGAGGCATTCTGTCTGGAATATCGTCGACCGTGGACACCGGTGCTGACGAGCTGTGCGCAGCCTGAGGACAATGATTTGTCTTAACTGAATGCGTATGTTTGCATGGTGCCATTTTGCCCTAATATCACGGTTGGTAACACACCTTTGATTTGGATCCGTATTTGTTGTCAAGTCAATGTGGTGACGATCATTTCTATCGCTACAATAGATCTACTCTTGACTCTCGGTATAAGGTTGATTTCTTTCCAGAAAAAAAACAGAAAGCCTTTGAAGTAATGTAGTCTTTTTATATCCGTTTGGGTTTGACAAATGGGTTTGTTATTTGTCATAGCTAACCATCGTTGTAGAGTGCGTCACACCGGCGAGCCACCCTTGTATTTTCTTACTATGGTGAACTGAGCATTGAAGGTCAAGGTGCCATTTTCATTAAGAGACTTCCACTCAAATCGCCTGTCCAGTTATTTGTCTATTTTTTTCACTTTTCTCCTGCTAATGGTAATTGTACTCCAAATGATTAGAAAACTCAAGCCTCTTCTTTATAAAGCCATGGGATCTGTTGTGAACGCTGTGCCTGCTACCTTCGCCGCCGGGTGCTATTGGGGGACGGAGAAATTCTTCTGCGACAAGTTCAAGGATGCCATTGTGTCGAAACAGGTCGGATTTATGGGTGGCAGTGATGCCCCTGGTGGGGTTACCTATAATCAAGTCAAGAAAGGTGACACTGGTCATGCCGAAGTGTTGCATTTGATGTATGATCCCACCAAGGTTTCGTATGAAGAACTATTGGAATTTTTCTTTCGCATCCACGACTCCACAACACTGAACCGGCAAGGCGTTGATATTGGAACCAATTATCGAAGCGCCATTTTTTACCATAACGATGAGCAAAAGAAAGCCGCTGAAGATTATATCGCCAAGCTAAACGGCTTGGATGAGAAGCTTCATTCGAAGTTTCAAGTGTTTGGGGGTGCAAAGTGTATTACGACTGTCGAGAAGGCATCAACTTTTTACCCAGCACACGTTGGGCATCAAGAATACTTCGAGAAAAATCCAAACGCACATTGTGATCATCGTATACACTACTGAGGCTTTGAAGAAAGGTGCCCGAAAAATTAGTTTGTTACTATCAATATATACCAATACATATATGCACATGTGTAAGCATATGCATTATATCATAATATTTTTATTCCGATAAAGGTATAAATGGGAGAGGTTAAGTTTGTATAAAATGGCAATAGGGTTTCTGTTATCAACTAACAACAACTGCAGTTAATGCATTGGTTTAAAAATTATTTTGCATGACATGCAATTCCTGTTTTACCAACGCTTTTCTTCTAAAGTGTGCCGATAAAGTTTTATCCATGCATGGAAGTATAGAAAATATCGATTAGTATTCCTCTAGTCGTTGCAAAACTCTATCAAAACCATGAGATGAAATGCTAAAGTTCAATGTGTATTTTAAGCATGCATACTCACAGAACCAACTAAATGAGTCAGGCTATTATTTCTTACGTGCTGTCAAAGTTAACCAACATTGCTGATGTACGGCCGGCGGACGTCGAAACTTCGCTTCGAGACTGTAGTATTGCTCTCAAGAATGTCTCAGTGTGTAGAGATACTCTGAATTCTGTTCTTCCTGTATTAGCAGAGGATTGCACAATCCTTAGCATGACTGTATTTCTCCCAAGTTTTACCACTTCGGAATCTATTTTTGCGGTTATTACGCAGGTCCGTCTTGTGACTAAGATGGGCTTACCTCATCTCTTACCAGAGCGCACCATGGAGGGGATCCTCGGCAGCATCACGAATGAGACGATTTTAGGTTGCCCGAAGACTAACTTATCGAGCGAAGCCGGAAACAAAATGCTATCTGAAGATGAGGAGCTGTTATATACTGAAAATGAAGTAGCAGAGGAATGCACCATCACATCTTCGGAAGACGCAGGTGAATATCAAGACTTGCTATCCTGTCGCAGTGATGGCGAGCTTCTTGACACCGAGAGCACTAGCCTATTGTCATTTGATAGGAGGAGTGCCTCAGATACTAATGTGTCGACAAGGGGTGGCTTCTTATGCTTTAAATTGTGCATTGAACTCACTAAAATGGATCCGGCAGTGGTCTATCCAAATCATTATTGGAGACTCCACTTTCTTATTGCACTTTGATTTGTACGGAAACACAATCTTTGAATGACACATCAACAACGTTGAGTGTGTTGTTGAACCCAAACGAGAGGGGGGGTCTCAAACTGCCAGAGTTGGTCGCCATGGTAGATGAGGCAACTCTGAATGCCATTTCGATGGAATTTGTCAGTGTCACAGCAACGATAGTCCAAGGTGATTTAAACGCGCTATTACCTGTAGCAGGATTTATTTTCTTTTAGCGGCATTTCGATTATCGACTGTGATAGTGACTCCCTGATTGCGCTCATTAGGTGTAAGGCTGCTCGGGATATGGTTCAAGCGCTGCGAGCGGCAAGTGGTTGCCCCTTCGCCGGATCCCAGAAGAAGAGCTTAATGCGGGGTTATGTGGTTATCCGCGCTCTGAAGCGGCTCTGACATCAGTGCCAATGGTACAACTTCAGCTTGTCTCATTCGTGGCTCTTCCCAAGGATGTGAAGTGGATATCTATACTTGCTTTTCTACTGTCATCGCCACTGCTACCAAAGCGTCGAGGGATATGAAGGGGACCCTGTTGGAGGTTAAGCAGGACCTTCTCTACAATGATGTGATTTCTTACTTGCAATGCCTTGTGCAGCAATGCCACTCGGTGGTGATGTCACGAGCAATGTCATATCTAGCACACGGTAATGAGGTTTCGTGGCCAAGCACCATTCCGAAACCATCTTCAAAATAAGAGACGCTTCTGCTGTAGTGAAAGATATGAAGCGAATCTTTCAGTTGAGGAGTGCATTGGTTGAAATGCAGAAGCAGTACCAAGCACCATCCTGGGCCGTTTCTAGCTGTAGTGCATCGACACCACTACCTAACGAATCTCATATGACATATTACCTTTCCCACTGCTTGTCAGCCTCTATGCGATGGCAGCACCTGTACTAAATGGCTTTCGGGAAATCGGCTTATAATAGCTTATACTTCTTCAGGATTTCGTTGCCATGAGGGATCAATCCCACACACTGACGGTCGCTATCTTGTGGTTCGGGTGTCGGCTCGATACCATACAACTTAGGGTGGAACGGTTGTCCTTTGCAAAGACGAGACTGTTGACTGAGATGTGACATTATGGCTGCACAAAGAGGTAGTTCTTTATTCAATCGTGTGATTCTTGCTTTGTGCCACCTATTTATATTAGTATGAAGCTGAACGGCAGGATTGCGTACCGGAGGTGGACCTCCGCGACACTCACTCTACTTGAGAGTACCTCTGTGTACTGTGCAGTGGCATTAGTGAATTGATTGTGAGGATAACATATTACCGGATGCCTACCACGATAGTCACCATACCATCAGTTCAAGGCGAGGGAATGAATTCCGCCTCGTTAGGAGACTGTCGTGCCCCCACCTCCCATTTTTGTGAGGCAAAGGGTTTACCCAATCTCTTCTTAAAGGAATGCCACATCACTTTCTAGTCTTTTAATTTGACCTTCACTACGTCCTATGTGCTCTTGAGTCGTGTGACGTGCGGATGACATAGAGAGACGCACGCTGGCATGAGGTATCTGCATGTACCTGTGACTGTGTGCTGCTTATGCGTTGAAATGGTATCCTAACCAATTGGATACTTTTTTGTGTGCTCTGGGGCGTTCAGGAGGTGAAAAATCAGCGGTTTGACTCTGCGAGCTGCACGTGTTGATACCACCGTGTAGACGTCAGGACGACCACGGAGGAAATAACACTTGTGCAATTTGTTTACAATCAGCATAGATTGTGTATGCATAACTTGGAGAAACTTGTGGACTGAATGATGGCATAACCATCTTATCTTTAAGGATACCATCATCCACGGATTTGACAAGGTCAGTAAGCACAACGTGCCCCTATTGCTCTTCCTTTGTACAACTACCCTGAAAATTTTTACATCTCGTGTTACATAGAATCAAGAGCAGCTCCATTCGCCATCTTTGATCTTTGCAGAACTATTTTCTTTCAGCAAGGTCGATAGGACCTTTTTCTCTGTCTTTACGATGTCCAGTGTCGAGCTTGTCTTTTTGAAGCTGATTTTTCAGGCTCCTGTTGTGTCTTGACCCTTCCTGTTTGTCCGTGTTCATGAGTTTGCCGAGGCTTGACAGCCAGACTATCAAGGATGTGCTTTGCTCCTTGTCTGTACCGATACAGGTACCACTTGTCTGGTGGAATTTTGGCATGCTGCCGTTCGGGTAACCGTGACGCTCCTTCTTCAAGCCACCGCCAACTGCCTGTTCGTTGGACCGGAATAGAACAATGTATCCTTCAGCGTTGGCGGTGTGACTGTAAACAGGTCTGGGTACTCAAAGAGGATCGACCTCAACCCCGTACCTCTTGTACGAGGGCCCTTGCAGAGAATTTACTTGAGGTGTGGGCAAAAGTGATCCATTTCATGAAGCCTTAAAGGAGGAAAAAGAACTCTATACCACAATCACAGCCTTTTGGGGTATGCTCTTCATGACACCAGATGAGAGAAAACTAATATCGATAGGATTTGAGACAGGTGTGGTCCAAAAAAATGGGATCGATTAGGGATATGAACCTATCTTTCTAGATTTCTAATCTTATACTGTAACTACTCCATACTTTTATTTCCTTTTTTCTCTTGACACATTCAAATTCATTCAAGAGTAGAGGTAATTTATGATTGTTTCTCTTTTTTTCAGCGGGGTAAAGGTTTGCCTTTTTGAAGGAATTGGCAATGCGGGGAACAAGGGAGCATAAATTTCTAAAAGCACGTATACAAAAGTATTCATGAAGGGTAATTTTTAGGGATCGTCTACGGCGATCACTTCTTGTTGGGCTTATCGTCATGTTTTTAATAGTTCTATGCTTATTTAATGTTCGCTATTGAGATCAGATACCCTTTTCAAGTCTGGTGCTTTCTCGTGATACTATGCAGGATATGTTTGTTCGCTCTAAAGGGCCTCGCGTAGTGATCTTGATTACAACTAATCAGGTTGATGATACCCTTTGCTATTCTGTAGGCTCTGCTCATCTAAGCGGATTGCCCGTGGTAGTGGTGGGGTACAAGATGAGATATCGTGGTTTTCTGTCTAAGTTTGATTTTGTGACAAGGGCCATCGAGAATGCGGAGTTGAAGCCAGAAGACGTGATCATTGCAATGGACTCAGGCACAATCTTCACGGGTGCAGACCTCAATCCGTTCCTGGATCGTTTCATCGCAGAGTCGGCTGCGTCGCCCGAGGAGCTGGACGCGCTGGCGGTGCGGCAGGGCCGTGCAATGGCACCAGTTCTGATTAGTGCAGAGGCTGGCTGCTGGACACCAAATATATATGAAACAGAGATTACCTGCAAAATGGGCTATGAGTCCGCTTATCAACAGGTGCGGGAGTACGCCGCGGCACATCCAGAGCATGAGCTCAGCTTACCTTTTGACCTATCACCGCGGCGCCATCTAAATGCGGGATCCGTGATTGCACGTGTGTGGGCATATAAGGAACTGATAGCGCATAAGAATAAGCTAATGAGAATGCAAAAAGCACGATATTATGCAAAATATGGATGGTACTGTGATCAGTCCATCTACGCAGCGCTCTATCTGGATCTCATAGCATGGGAAGTCAAGCGTGACGTCTTCTCGATGCCAATGGATGAGCGGCAGGCGGCACGGTCCTGCTATGGTGTGCGAGCAGGACTTTACGGGATAGAATACAACGGTGAACTTTCTGCTCTTCATACGATAGCGTTAACGCACCTATCTGAGCTGCACGATGAGAATTGGAGAGAGTACCTGCGAGTGTATGGCCTTGGGCTCACCCATTCGCAGGAATTAACCGATCTCAAGGGTATGAAGCGGTTTGTGGACGATCTTTATAAGCGAGCCTACACAGCACACGGCGAGAATATTTATACGAGGCTGGCGGTACCCAGGTGGGTTGGAGGGAAGACGGCCACCAGGGAGACCCGCATTACCCTCACGCCACCACTATTAGCACTCAAGCCGAAACTCATAGACACAGTCAACAACAACGCAATATGTCGTACGTTCCCAGTGGTTTACCATATAGCAGACCTTGAGCAAAATTTTACGAAGGTCCAAAAAATGGGTCTCACATCCTTCGGTCTTAGATGGTTTGTGCCGATAGTGCACGATCCAAAAGCAAAGCTTCGTGCTATGCAGTATCTGGCATCTGCACCTTGGTTTCTATCAACGCATAACGCCATCATTAAGGGTTTCTACCATGCCAAATGTGGCTTTCCGTTTGAAAAAGCTATCCAACAAGCAGAAGATCATTGAGACTACGTTTCCAATAGGATCTCTTTCTTTGATTCACTATCTAGCGTTTAGAGGCATCCCCTTGAAAAGTAGCCTGTCTAGCAGTAGGTATCATACGAGGTGGCCGCTGGCCGAGCGCTTGCAATAGAAATATGCACCACGGGTGTAAGCTCTAGTCCACCCGACAGCTGTTTGTGTATGCGTGTGTGTATTCCCATACCCGTGTTGATGTAGTAGTTTTTTCTCGTTTTTCTCTTTTTCCATCGGTCCACCAACTCCCCACGTGGGGTAGGCTTCTCCGGAAGATCATGTTATTTACGTAAAAAATGAGTGTGAAATAGTCGCACATTTTAGAAATTCGTAACATTTGCAGAAATCATGATTATACTGTAGATAGAGAGAAGGCTTGACATCTAAATTTTGTAATAACGAGCACAAAGAGATTTTGTCTAATGGGATAATATGATTAAAATAAAACTTTCCTTTAGTCCGGTATCATGATGCCAAGGAAGTTGTCGTGTACTCCAGTATGATTCTGGAATGTCTTTTATCAGCTCATGAGTCCTTTATGTTGCATGAGATCTAAATGTAATGCTTTCCATTGGTTAATGAGGAATGCTTTGTTTACCTTTAAAAATGAGTGGTCTGCTTTGGATGCGTTATTTTCCTATAATCCAAGTTTTTTATTGGATAAACATGTCATTTAAGATCGGACATGTTTAATGCTATGGAATACATTTAATAAAATAATAATTGGAACCGAAATTTTTACATTTCGGTAGATTGCTTTATTATGCTGTAACCCATCGTAAACAATAAAAGGGTAAAGCAATCCTTCATAGAATGCACAAATCCCTAGATTTATTTTCCAACATCTTAAATTATTATTACGTATACTTTCTCTAGCTAATCACAAGCGTATTTGATAGTCCTGTCGGTCCGAGACTAACACCGTCCGACGACTGCCTTCAGGAACGTTTTAGTGATTCTTAGCACTCCAACACTCTTCCTCTTCCTCTTCCTCTTCCAGCTTGAAGTACTATTTTCTAGGAAGCAGGGTGTCTTTTCTTTAGAATACACCAATACTCCCCGCTGGATGAGGTGAGCATGTGAGGTTCGTCTGCCTTTTAGTCCGTGCAAGGTGGGGAAGTTCTGTGTGCGGCTGTGTGAGGCCAGCGTGGCGCTAGGCAAGGGGGATGGGTCGGCTTAGCGCGAAGGGCCTGCGCCAGCGTGCGTTAGGGAACGGGTTAGGGAACGGGAACGGGTTAGGGAACGGGTTAGGGAACGGGTTAGGGAACGGGTT